TTTTTTCTTTTTTGCTTTTTTTTTCTTTTCTTTTGCATTTTTTGGTTTTTGTTTTCTGTTTTTGCTTGTAAAGTTTTTTTCTTCCGTTGTCATGACAGTAATAGTTGTTTATGCCTTGGTTAGCATGACAATTCTTTTTATGGTTAATTTATAAATCTTTCCTTTTTTCTTCAGATTGGAAAAACTCTATTTTAGTTCCTTTGTCATTTTGACAATTTTTTTTTTTGTTCGCCAATTTATAAATCTTTCCTTTATTTTCCTTCAGATTGGAAGAGCTCTCTATTTTAAACTGAAAATTCCACACGCGAGGGGCCTTCCAGCCATATTTGGGAAGGTACATAAGTTCCTATGCTTAGCACGATTAAGAGATTTCAAAAGATTTCGATGGCACCATGATACGACCCATCCATCTTCTGTTTCTATTTCCATGTAGCGTCCTTTTTCGCCTTAATTACGCTTAAATTTCATCCAGTCATAAGAAAAGTTTTTCTTATCAGATGCCCCAGAATTTCTTTGCCTCGATGGAATGCAGACAACGCTGCTCGCGTCAACGTATGACGCACTGAAAGATTCGTATTATTTGACGTCGATATTATGGTAAAAAACGAATTGAAAGTGGTTCAACGTGGCTTTACTTTGATCGACAACGATAGTCGTCATCACATTGGTCGGTGCGTTGTCGATGAGTGTACAGACCACGCTAAACCACTGTCGATTTGTTAAATAGCCAGGAGCCATTGAGACCTTTTAATAGCAATCGTTAAAAACTAATTTCAAATCATAGTCATCGAAAACATACAAGACGAAAGCTGGAAACTCAAATACCAGTGAAATTAGAATGCATTAATTCAAGCCTCAGTTTGTGAAGAACATCTCAGAAAGAGCACAGCTACATGATCTTATCTTGTTAAGTTCCGGCTACAATTGAACCAAGAGGTCTCAAACATCGAGATCTTCCAAATATCCAAGCATTGCCGAAACTATTGAAACAAACAAACAAACAAACAATCATAGGCGATTCATTGTTAAATTTTTTTTTTATCCGCAGGGCGAAACATTTTGCAAATACAAACTTTATCTTGATCACGATTACGCTAAAACAAAGACTGTCTCTGGAACAATAAACCCTTCTTACGACCATGAGAAGAAATTTACTTTTAATCCTGTGACAAAACAGGTATGTTTTGCCATTTTGTACTTCCCTGTTCGTTTTTCTCATGATTGATATTTTTCTTTCTGCCTTTCTAAGCCCAGCAAAAAGAGACTTTGAAGATTGGAAAGTTGATCTTGTCGCCATTTTGCCGAGCGATCGTTTTATAAGAAGCTGACCAGCCTAGAGGGACTCATTGGGGTTAACCGTTAGCCGTAAAACGGCAAAAATATAGCTGTTAGGCGTTAAAATGGACGAAGTTTAAGCTCATCTTTCAAACCGGCAGTCTAAATCCCACAGTTATCAACGAACGCTTTTCATTCCACTAATTTATTCGTGTTTTTCTCGTTGCCATGTTCCCACCAATCACGTAGCTCCTTTTTCTGCCTTTAAAAGCACACACAACCCACAATTCCCCTATTCGCTCCGACGAAGGGCTAACGCTCGAAACGTCAGCTTTTATAATCGTAACGGTGGCCAATTTATCATTTCAACTTTGTTGATATATTCAAATTACTTCGTAAAGAAAGTTACCCACAATTTTTTTTTTTGCCGGATTTGTCTTTTTGAAAGTGTCAAATCTTAGACTGTTTTAAGTCTTGTTTTATGGACTAATGTGAGATAACATAAAAATTACGCTATTTCAAACCAAGAGTAGCTCGATCTGTATTTACCCTGTTGCCTGAATCTTGAGGTAAAAGCGAGCAATGATATGTGTTTTAGAACGATGAAAATTAATCAACAACTTTTCGAAATGACGATGAAAATTAATCAATAACTTTTCGAACTGATTAAAATTAATTTTTAACTTTTCTGTTTACGGTAACAGAAAGAAATTAATCGTCACCGTAAAATGGACAAAAAAAAGCCATCACCCCATTGAGACTCACGGATTAGACCATTTTGCCGCTGGTTTTAACAGGGGCCCTGTAACAAGCCATAATTAATCGGACTTTCAGCGCAATTTGCCATGGGATAAAATCACATTCCTTTGTTTTATCCCTTGTAGTTGATAGATTATCTGTTGAATTCTCCTCTTCTGATCCAAGTCTGGGGAAAGCAGAGTGGAAGAAAGATCAGTACTGTTGCAAACAGGAGAGTGTCGGTTGGACAAAGGGACAGTGGATTGAAGAACAACGAGATTGTGGTGAGAATGCTGCACAGATCTCTAGTATTTTTTTTTTCTCTTTGGTTCTTGAGCTTGTTCTTTTCTTTGTTCGTTTGATCATTACTTTCAGTTCGTTCATTCGGTTCCATTTAGTCTGGCATCCTGTCTACGACAAGTTGAATCGCAATTTATGGTATCCTTAATTGTGCGCACGCTTGGAAAAAACAAGAAAGAGACCACTTTGATTGGCTATGCAACCCGGAATTTCCTTTGTTATTCACCTCCGAGAAACTCGTGCGGGATTTGCACCCGAAAATATTGTAATCCTGGCAGGAACAAATGAGTTAAAATCATCTGTTTTGTAATGACTTATCTCACTGATTTAATATACTACCTTCACTTCGATGAATAGTCGTAACCTATCTACTCTTTTCATTCTTTCCATTTATTCCATTATTCATTCACATATTCATCCTTTCTTTCTTTCTTTCCGTGTGTTTCTTTCACTCATTTAATTGTCATATATCAATTTTATTCATTGCTATTTGGATGGTTTCTTTTCTTGCTTACATTTTTCAGCGGAGGCAAGAAACCCAGAATATGAAACTAGAGTTGCATAAATCGATGAAAAGAAACGATAGATCTGAAAAGAAATTCGTAAGTAACCAACGGATGTTCTTAAATGTGCACATTTATGTCTAGCCCATAGAAGAAACAGCGATCATTACGTAAATGATTGGTTTTTGACCATTTAATTTCTCACAATGTCACCCCTAAATCACACAGTAAGGTCAAGAGAATAAAGGAAATGGTCACCAACTAAAGAAGAAGTTAATTGTAAATTGTTTGAGTTTGACAAAGCAAACCAGCCGTCAGCCATTTTTTAATTTAGTTCAAATTTAGGTACATCCCAATCAGGAACGCCGATTTTGTAGAGTATATGATAAAGACAGTTACTGCATTTGATAATGATCTTCGCATTCCTTTGAAGTATCGTAGTGCCCTAGCATTGGATATGAGTTCGTAGTTTGTAATGAGTTTGCAAAAGAGAACCTAGTGAAATCTCGATTTAAAGCGTTCGATTTTTTATGTCTGTCCGCGCGTAAATCTTGGTAAAATGATATTTTTAGAATACAATATCAGTTTTCTATGGGTTACGCTATTTGGAATCATAAGAGGGTTGTGACAGTGAAAGGTCAATTTTAATTCGCAGATTATGGAGAAAAAGCGATGAAAAGTGGTAGTTTCACCATGCGAGTGATTTGGCAACGTGCCCTTTACTTAGTTTGGTGTAATGTTTTTTTGTTAGTTATGCACCAGCAAACTTTAATCTTTTCTTTTTAATTCCTTAAAAACAGAAAAAGATGCGAGAATTAGTGGAGGATGCCAAGAAGAAAGGTGTCTCTACAGTTGAGGTATGAATTTAATATTTGGCTCATTTCAGATCTGATCGAGAAAGTTTCACAGCTTTAATTAGAAATTTCCTTTTCTTTCGGAGACATCAGCCAACTAAGATCCACATGTTTCAAACTCAATTCGCAACGAGGAATACAAATCGACCCAGTTTTACAGGTCGTGAAAAGATTTCTAAATGGTTTTGAGTCGTCGCCTCTAAAACTTCACATTCACTGTCAGCGTTAAGGTTTCTTAGAAAGCAACAAGTAGTCACAGGGATGATCTCGACATATTTGAAGGAAACACTTTCGTACTCATTTCGATAAGCGTGCAAAAAGTGGGTGTGATATAATTGTATGAAGTTTTCGTAGGCTGGAGCAATTCGTCACACGGATTTGTGGTTTTGTCGGCTTGTCTCGGTTGTCACCTTTATGTGGAATTGAGATTCGTTTACTTTCTGACGCCAGGTCGCTGTACTTGAGGACATTTTGAACGGTGGCGAAGGTAACAAGTTTAAAGCAACCGCTACTATCGTCCTGCAAGCGCAGAAGTCAATGAACAATGATGGAAAGGTCACAAGTTCGGCTTGTTCGATCCAGTGAAAAGTTAAGTTAGATCGATATTTATTAGACTGTCACAGTAATTTACGACTGCGTTGTAGACTCAGTGCACCTCCATGTTTTAAATTTTCTTTTCGTACCTTTTGAATGCAATTTTGTTCACCAATCCACGACATTGGCAACAAAAAGTGCATTCATTAGCCTTCAGTGTTACAAGTATTACGGTGTTTTTTGTCGCAATTACAAGTAGTGATAGACAATGTACAATCCTTTAGCGTTTTTTAATAGTCAAAAAGGACTCAGAGGTCAAGACGTGGAAAGAAGACGAACAGCGAGTAAGGATGTTTAGAGATTGAACAAGCATGCGCCTTTTTTCACTTCTTCGTTTGCACATAGAATTGTCGCTTCCAGACTCATTCGTTACTCACCCATTTTCGTCTCTATTTTCGTCTCATTATTGTCTGTAGTTCAGTTTTCAGGAACATTTGTAGTGTTTCGACGTAAATTAATTCACCATGTCAACTTATTTGACATTTTTTTGTCGTTGGAAAGAAAGCTACGCTAACTTAACGACGGTGATATGTAACCGCCATATAGTTTGTGTCTACTTGACATTTTTTGTTGTTAAAAAGAAAGCTACGCTAAGTTAACGATGGTGATATATAACCGCTATATAGTTTGTGTCCACTCGACATTTTTTGGTGTTGAAAAGAAAGCTACGCTAAGTTAACGAAGGTGGTATGTAACCGCTAGATAGTTTGTGTCCACTTGACATTTTTTGTTGTTGAAAAGAAAGCTACGCTAAGTTAACGATGGGGATATGTAACCGCCATATAGTTTCTGCCTACTTGACATTTTTTTTGTTGAAAAGAAAGCTACGCTAAGTTAACGATGGGGATATCTAACCGCCATATAGTTTCTGCCTACTTGACATTTTTTTTGTTGAAAAGAAAGCTACGCTAAGTTAACGATGGGGATATGTAGTCGCCATATAGTTTGTGTCTAGTGCTCAGTTCATTGCATGCGGGTTCGTGTAGTGTAATGCTGTTTATAATGGGACTTAAATCAAAGAAAACCATGAATACAGTTTCAAAAGTGAACACAGCCAAATGTAAAGTGTGTCAAAATCAAATTAGACTCTGAGATATATAACCACAGTCAGACTTTTAACTTTCCTTGTTAATTCTATGCTCAACACGCATTTATTCTTCTCCTGGATCGCAGAGAGCATTACTTACTACTGACAATGTTTACCCAATAAGGCTGTACTTCAAAGTATTACAAGTCTTATTTTAAGTATATTACGTAAGCACACACACCACATAATTTAAATTAAATGTTTCACCCTTCTCCTTGTTGCATGTTAAGTCTGTTTCCACGAATGTAAATTTGCAATAGTAAATAAGAGATGTAATTTGTTGTGTCCCAAAAGTAATCTAAATAAGATTGAACATGACCTTTATAAGATTCACCGCACAAATGCACGCTATACATGTACGTTTTAGTACATTATTATGGCATATATTCGATGCGCGGTTCGCATTCAAGGTTTGTCGTCGAAATAAAGTATTGACAACAAATTTACAATTGCATGATTTTGGCGGTTATTGCTCTGGGAGATTTTCCAGCTTAGACCCCTTAGTCCCAAGTTCTGATTGTAAATTCTCCACTCTAACCGTTACACATTTTCTTATACATTGATTATGGGAATTTGGTGTTACATCAAGACAACGTCTACTTGATAAGTTTGAGTATTCTCATTACCTGTATGCTGAATAGTGTAAGGATTTCATTGGGGGAAGTCACATTTTAATCACTTCCGGGAGTTTAAGGGTCAAATTGTTTTGAAAGAAACAAAGATGGATGATTTTTGAATGACGCAGTCACTGGATAAAACAGCGCCTTCAGCATTGATGGCAGGGGTGCAAGACTGGTGAAAATATTACCTTCGTTAGCGAACTTCTTGTATTTCAGTAAATAAATTTCCTTGAACGGAATTAAAATTAAATGTTTGTGGTTCGGAAACCTCTTCTCCTTGAGTAATGTTTGCTTCTCAACAAAAGCAAGTAAGACAGGGTGTCTGTCTAAAACAGCTAAACAATTCATACATTGAGAACCACTACTTGGAGCCAGATTTATCAGTGAACCAAGATGGCTTAGTGAACTACATAGCTGTCCATACAATGACAAGCAAACTTAGTTACCTGCTCTGTCTCCAACTGTCTATACAATCAAATTTCTATTCAGCAGTAAGCTAACTCAGAGAGAGCAAAAGAAGGTTCCTCGGTAAAAACCCCAAAATGCTTTCCCATCTTGAATTTATCGTCATATTTATCGTAGTGGACAAAAGCTTTATGAAATTGAGAAATACCACTTGGTGTATATTACCGGTATTCCCCATTTTTAGCTGGGGCAATCACGCAAAAATAAATATTTAGGGGCTTTTACTAACGAGTATGCTCTGTGAAACTGAGAAATTAAAATAATATGAATAGTTCCACCTTGGAGGAATCCGATTGCACCATAAGGTAAACTCCGAGTCTGACTGGCCCTATGAAGATCAGTCTGCATATCAAGTATTCACAGCATCATAGTGATACCGAAACGACATGTGGTTTCTATATTTTCTTCCGGTCTACCTTCTCCTTTCAAAACCTCTGCTAATGTACTGGTTTTATCCGATAGATTTGTAGGCGGTTGATTAAATCATCACAGGTCAGATAAGTCACACAGCCTGCCAGTTCCTGTTGAATGACGTAATTTTAGCACGTTTCAGAAGTATCCCACTGCGTAGTTGTCGCCTGAGTCAAATAAACAGTTGTCATTTGTTTTCTGAGAAATCTTGCTTTTAGACAGTGTGGGTGGATTGGGAAGAGTTTGCGTCACCCCAGTTCTTCTAAACACTGCTCAAGACCTGATAGAATTCAAGTCTAGCAGCATCTTTCAGCATCATTTTCAAGGGAGGATACGGCAACAAATACGTCGGTTTTCTCAAGCAGGCATTTAGGAAGTAAAATTGCGTCCTCAGTCCGATACTGCTTTCTGGTTCCGCTTTTAGCGCATATCTTTCGTGATGTTTGACTCCTAAAGTAAGTAGTGGCAAGCTACTAATACGGATTGAATTTCGGTCCCGGTTTAAGCGCGTCTCATTAATGATATTTGACTACCACTGCCAAATTGAGAAGATTCTCAGAAAAATCAAATGATTTTCCCTTCCGGTTTAAGCGCGTCTCATTAATGATATTTGACTACCACTGCCAAATTGAGAAGATTCTCAGAAATATCAAATGATTTTCCGTTCCGGTTTAAGCGCGTCTCGTTAATGATATTTGACTACCACTGCCAAATTGAGAAGATTCTCACAAACATCAAATGATTTTCCGTTCCGGTTTAAGTGCGTTTCATTATGATGCTAAATGACACCCTATGCTTAATCAGCATACCGGTATAAAAAGAAAAACATAGAAGCCTATTTCAGATCACATTTGCTACAGATTTAAAGGAAGCAACGTCTTTACATTACACCATGTTTAAGTTAGTAGTGTTTTTCGTATGTGTATTCAGTGCTCTGTCACAAGAGTTGGACAAGACGGCAGCGGAAGGAAGGACCGTTAAACAAGAAGCTGGAATATTCCAAAAAGATGAAGAAGGTGGAATGTTTATTAAAGGAGATGAGGAAGTTAACGAAGTCGAGATGCCAGAAGGATCGAATGAAGGTAAATGCGATGTCGTGTTAGATCTAGAGCTACTTCTTATTTTCCCCTCAGGAACAAAAATGTCCCAGCTCGACTTACCAAACTGACCCCAATTTTCCATTGTCCATAACCTTTTTGATGAAAGAAAAGGTTGATCAATTTTCAACACCAAAGTGGAACCACGAGGCGCACCCTTAAAATTTGGTTTTAAAACTTGGAAATTCGTCACTGTCTCTTTCGGAATCGGAAATTTGCGATGGTTTTTACGAGAGAAATTTTTTTCTCCGACATTGGCTTGAATTGGTGAGCGTTGCGTTACACGTTACTAAATCGGATCGATAGCCTCACTGACACGGGCTCTCGACCAGTGATTTACAGTTATAGTGAACTTGCATATCGATGAGTAGCGATCACCAAGGATTTTGACCTCGTAGTTTGTACTTGTATATTTACAGACAATTGAGGAGGAATAGGGTAGTTAATCGTGACCGTTGTATTCCAATCATTCTTAACATGATGGCAGAACCCCACTAACAATTTGAATCAAAAGGCATCTTCAGCTTCCTGTTTGGAACATAATCTTACACTTAAAACAGCCTAATTAAAAGCACTGTGAGATTTTATTCGTTTGAAAGTGCTTGATTCGTAAGGATTGAAAAAAGAAAGAAATACGCATGGTGTGTTTGTGGGAGGATACATAGCTGAGATTTTCACTTGTCAATTATGAATAGTTGCTGATCTGAGTGGAAACAAAAAGAATCGTTAAAAGTTACTAGACTGTTAGATAACGTTATCATATGTGGTATTATTATCCAACTACACAAAGAAGAGTACAAATAACGTGCGAATCGAGTACAAATATCCTGCGATATTGAACAGTTAAAAAGAAAAAACCTGTTCAGCCGGTCGGCTTCACGCGCCACGCTACTCTATCTGTGTCGCTTTTCCCTCTTCTTAAGAAGTGCGTATGAAATAAAGTAGTAGGACGACGAATAACTTCCTAGAAAATTTGTGTGTAGAAACACGCAAGTTTAAGGAGCCCGCAATATAGATTTATTCTGGTCAGTTACTTGACATCGCTTTCACCTCATGAAAGCATGAACAGTTCTGTATACTCAGTTTGCGTTTTACTAAATAAATTATCTCTGTTGATTCTTTTCTTTTCCCCTAGGTAACGGAACTTCAAAGAACCGTGCACGTCGCTATACATACCGCTGAGGTCGATATACCTACAATCCGCGATTTCGGATGTGCTGTGCTGGTACAGTAGTCTCCAAATCTGGCATCAGTCCCAGCTGTTGTGGGACGCGTGGCTATGATGCAAGATTTCGGATGTGCTGTGCTGGTACAATAGTCTCCAAATCTGGCATCAGTCCCAGCTGTTGTGGGACGCGCGGGTATGACGCAAGATTTCGGATGTGCTGTGCTGGTACAATAGTCTCCAAATCTGGCATCAGTCTCAGCTGTTGTGGGACGCGCGGGTATGACACAAGATTTCGAATGTGCTGTGCTGGTAACATTGTTTACAAATCTGGAATAAGTCCCAGTTGTTGTGGAAAGCAGGGATACGATGCAAGATTCCGTAGATGTTGCGCAGGTCAGGTTCGATCCCGATGCTAATTAAAGCCACCTGAGATGGACGAAACGTGAACAAGCAAGTAGCATATATCTTCAAAAGCGAGCGCAAAGGGAAATTAATGAAGTTAGTTGAATCTCAAAACAAAGTGGAATTATCCTTGATTAAAGAAAAGAAAATATACAGTCAAACCTGTATTAAACGGCACTGTATTAAGTGGTCATCCTGTATTGAGCGATCGGTTGTCCATGTCCCGAAAATTTTTCCTCTTTAAAAAGTAGTGTAATTTTTTATCTCTACTGACCGGTCCTACTGTGTGAAAAATTGATGGTAAGTTCACAGCTTAATTAGATAAATTAATACGAAAATTTTTTCTAAAGTTCCCATAAAAAAAAAAAAAAAACATTTACCAGCACTGTTCAAGGAGATGCACGTATTTAGCCGTCAGGTTTGACTAATATTGGTAGTTTCCATAAATATATGCTTCTCACGAAGTGCGTGTTGCTGACGAAATTCAGTCGAAAATTTTTACAGCTTTGTTAGTATCGCAACCCTTTGATGATCTATTGTAATCTTGGATTACTTGACTTTGCTTGCATCTCCGTCACTGATGTAAACACGATATCTAATAAAGGAAGAAACAAAAAGCTTTCTTTTCTCTATACTTGAATGCTGAAGGGTTTGGGCTCATTTAGGTTATGACTGAGAGATGTTATTTACCACTCGGTACAGGGGAAAATTTCCTGGTGCGTACTTAGCTCCTTTTAATTCAACGTAATCCAAAGCTAAACTGATGTCAGGTTAAAACCTATAACTTAAACTTATCAGTTTAAGTTCTTGTGAAACCAAGAAGTGTTGAGCACGTTTCTGAGGTTTAGGTACTCTACTGGTTATCGCCCTCGGCAAATAAACAGGATAGCATTTGTTTTCCAAGAAATCTTGCATCTAGAAAGTATAGACGGGTTCAAAACAGCTTGCAGTAGTTAACTGAAATCTAGTTTTTCACGAGGGGTAACTTTTCAATATCGTATCCTTGATAACACCGAGG